CATACTAGTATATAATATTGTCATTTATAACATAATTTTATTTTTTTATATACATATATTTAAGTCTTTTATTGAAATAAAAAAAAATGGTACAAGGCCAATACCTATTCAGATCACTCAAAAAACTAAATTTATTTTTGTTTTAGTAAATGTAAAATTGTATCAAATGTTATTTGTGCTTTTTTGAGTCGTTTCAGCCGTAAGCCAAAATAAAAGGCATACTTTTAAATTATTTTTTTATTAATAATTAATTAACAAACTACTATTTTACACAAGTTGCATTTCTTCGATCATTTACACACAATTTATTAGAGAATGTCATCAAATAGTTTTAATGCTCAGTCGTAAAATGATAATCATACTGTGCTTTATACTCCATCACCACATGCTGAGGTTGTCATAATAGCCTATTAAATAAAGATAATAATGAAAACAGGGTTTATATTTTCTGCTGTGTTAGGCCATTGCTAAATACTGTGAGTTCGTAGGATCATCTGAATTATAGGCCGTTACAAAACAAACATTCTGTCCTTCTACCAGTAATTGTAAATTGTTTTCCATTTTCTGTCCAGGTAAAATTTGTATGTCACTATCCAAAAATTGAATAAGTGGAATTGTTGCTACTTTTGAATCATCTTTCTTCTATATAAAATAAATATATTTTATAATTCAAATTAAATATAGTAAATAAGGCGAATTTTTCCCAGTCTAAGTATAAATTATTTTTTACCTTATTAGTCCATTCTTCAAATTCGTTTTCTTTTTCGTCTAACGTTACATTCATTTGTTCGTTTCCGAATATCGTTCTTTCATCTTCAAAATTAACATTTAGGGGTATTAAACTACCGTCATTTGTTAAACCTTTAAAATTCTGTTCTCCATTTTCCATTGTAGTAACTACTCTAAGCATTTGTCCGTCTGGTAGAGCAACTGACATGGTATTTCCTTCTTGATCGATAATTTGCTATAACAGATCAATTTCAAAAATCTTTCTTTTACATTTTCATCCAGTAATACATACTTGTATAACTGCATTATTTTTAGTAGATAAAGTAGAAATATTGTTTATTTTGGCGTGCGCTTCATCATTTTCGTTATTTTTTGTATCCAACTGCTCCATAATTTGCACTAATGAAGGCGATTGAATTTCTGAAGAATTTGGATCCAATGTAACATAAAATATATCGTTTTCATCTGAAATAAAAACGAAACAAACAATCGAATTTCAACAAAGTTCTCAGTCTTATTTTACCGTCCTTCGATGATGTTAACACTTTGATTTCTGGTGTCTCGATTAAATTAGGTTCGTTTTCATGTATTCTTTTGTGTTTCGCTAAATTCGAACAATCAGCAAAACCTCTATTACAGAATTCACAAACATAAGGCTTTTCACCAGTATGTAATCTTTCGTGCTTTTTCAAAGCACATTGTTCAGTAAAACCTTTAAGGCACTAAGAAGATAAAAAATTATCGTAATTATAAACTTCGAACAAGTAAAATGAAATTTGTACCTGCTCACATTGGTACGGTTTTTCGTTTTTATGTCGTCTAGTATGACATTTCCACGTATCCCTGTGAAGAAATGTTTTTGGACAAAATTCACATCTCCACGGTCGCTCCCCACTGTGTCGTTTCATGTGTAGTTTATATTGAGAAGAGGTAGTGAATTTTCTGTTGCAATGTTCACAATTATATGGTTTCTCTCCTAAAAATTAAAGCTACATTTTTTCAAAACGCAAAACAAAGTTTTCCTGTAGATTAAACCGCATAAAAAATATATTAAAAAATCACCTGTATGAATCCGCTTGTGCTCAGCCAAATTGCCTTTCTGTGAGAAAGACTTTAAACAAATATCACACTGGAACGGTTTCTGACCACTGTGCCATCTTATGTGCAATGTTAGAGAAGTTTTGTGGGCAAATGTCTGTCCACATTGTGAACAAAAGTATTTTTTTTCTCCAGTATGAATAGGCATGTGATTTATAAGATTTGCTCTCGTTTTAAAGCTTGCATCACACTGTTTGCAACGATAAGGTCGCTCTTCCGAATGTACAAGTTGATGTCTTTGCAATAACTGTTTGTGCTTGAAGCTCTTATCACATTTGATGCATACAAAACGCTGGCCATTATTATGCTCAGCTTCACGGTGATAAATGAGACTGCTGGGATGATTGAATATTTTCTTACAGACCTGTAATGTAAAATACTGTAAAAATGTAATAGAATATACATTCATATGAATACCAGAATGAATGATATTTTGTTTCCCAGAAATATTTCACAATTATTACTCTTTTTTATAGTTATCATCTTATTAAAATAAACTTTAAAGTTACTTATATAAATGGATCACACCCGCAAATGAATAAACAAATAAATATCTTTAATAAAAATGTGCATTAGCATAATGTGTGCAAATGGTCTACCAAAAATTTGTGATAGAAACATTGTTAGGATGTTATTTTTTCTATGTATTATAATTTAGTGAATGATTTGTGTAGCTTATATTACAAAAACAAATTTCTTCCAAAATAACTAAAGTTTAAACTGAAAACTTTCACTTGATTATAATTTAACAATTATAAAAGGGACTAAAATTATTTTGTTATTTTCCCTTACAACTCTTACCTCACATGGATAAAGCTTTTCATTTTTATCTAAGTGTTTTAATAAATGCCACTTTAGACTATTGAGATAGGGAAACGTTTTTTTACACCTACTGCACTGATGGGGTTTCATATTTTTATGTACTGCCTTTATATGGACATCAAGATTTTGTCTACACATAAAATTTTTGCCACATACTTCACATGAATTTTTACTAGAAGCATCTTGAGGACTATCTTCCTTACTATCTTCAGAACACTCTTTTAAACCTACTGTGTCTGTGGAATTTGATTGAGGAGTATTGGTATCATCAGTTTCTTGTTCTACATTGATTATATCTTGTTGAGGTTCTTCTTTCTATGTAATACGTTTAAAATTTTAAATGAAGTAATAAAATAAAATTTACTAGTTCTACTTGCAATATCTACAAAATTGTACTTACAAATGATTCACACTGTAATTGTGATAAGCCATTATGACCAGTAACTTTATGATGTCGTTCAATGGAAATTTTGTTACTAGCACGAAAAATGCATGAATTACACTGAAATTTACCATTCTCATGAAGTGATTTATGATTTTCATATCGACCATAATATAAGAATTCCTTCCCACATATTTCACATTCATGTTTTTTTCTTCTTCTTGATACTTTGGAAGAAAAATGCCAATTAATTTCTGGTTGTGTCCAATCATGTCACATATTTACTAGTTTCTGCTTCATTTAGAAAAAATCCAAAATACCTTCATTCTTAAATGTATTCCTCATTTTACTTGAGACTCTGTTAACTATAATTAATTCTCCAAGATTATCACCATCTTTACTTTGTAAGCGACCAATAATTTCATTATCTTCTAAGTGATCTGCTTTACCATGTTCATAATCTGATGTTGAATCTTCACCTATAACACCTTCTTCTAGAAAAATTCTTTCCAGTTCTTTCCCCTGCAATGGCATTAACAAATGAAATAAGAAAAGGAATTACACTTTACTATCAAAATTAATACAGTATATTTATATTTAAAACTAACCTGGACAACTTCTTGAAATCTTGTAGGTACTTTTATTTTCCTTTTTCTTCGTCCATCATTGTCAGTTTCAGGTTCATCTTCAGATTCAGGTTTGACTTTTGTCTCTTTTTGCGGCTCATTTTCATTGCACTCTGTAGTTATCGTTTTGGGTGGCCTACC